ATATATATATATATATATATATTTTATAACTGCAATGTGCTCTAATAGAGTGCAGGTATCTGCAGTGCTGTTTCTCCTAGCTGCTCACAGAATTCCACCTGCACATACTCAATACAAATGGCTGACTCACCCCTACAAACTAGTACCCTGCCCCCTTCACTCAGCTGCTTCTTACTCCTGACAAAAGCTAAACCCACTCCCCAGCCCTTTACCCTGCTGGTTTATTTCAGGGAGTGCTCATTATGTACTTGGCCCTTTCTAAGCAGCAGGCTCAGGTCATGCCCCAAGAACAAAGGTGTACAACATACTGAATAAGCAAAGTGGTCAAGGTGGTTCTTGACAATCTCTTGGTAATAGAAAGAAATGCCCACTGCTGACATGTGCAGGACTCTGAAGGAGATGAGCTTGTACCTAATGGAGTGGGAGACAATGGGTATATTCACAAAGGGAGCAACATACACAGAACAAATAAGGAAGAGGATCTTAGCAGCAGCGTTTTGTCTGGAATGGAGGGAACCAGGTGTGTGCCAGGAAAGCCAGAGAGGTTTCAGTAGACAAGACAAAAGATGCCAAGGCATGGACTAGAATTTTGGTGACATGGACAGAAAGAAAAGGCTGGATCTTAGTGATATTACAGAGGAAGGAGGGAGGATTCAGACCCAGCCTGGCTGTGTGGAGCAGGGTAAAGGGAGGAGGCAAAGAGAACCAGAGATCATAGGCTTGAGTTAGCAGAGGCTGGTGGTAGAGAATGGGGTAGCAGAGAGGAGTTGGAAGAAGGTAAAGTTCAGTTTAAGCTAGCAACGAAACAGTCTGATGATAGATGTGCAGACTTTGAATCTGTCTTCACAAACATTTAATTCACCGCAAGTTGGGGTGTAAATCTACCGCACTAGCCTGCCACATTTTTGCAGTCTGTGCGAACCCTGGTGACATGCACTTTGGTCTAGTCCTGTTTCAAAGAGGACCAAATCAAAGCACATTAACAAACTGTTACCAGGCAGCAGCAGGGTCCATGTAGTCAGTTAGTTCACGGCAGGCTAGTGTGGTGGAGATTCACGCTAGAGCTCTGCCCAGGACTATTTTTTTAAACCTGCTCTAGTATCCACTCCCACCTGATTCCACTTTGTTTCTTGTATTTTTATCCCGCTCCCATTCACAAAAACCTTAGATCCTGCAAATCCTGCAAGAGAGAGATTCCCTCATGCTACAAAAAAAGAAAAGAAAAACACCAAACAAAAAAAGTTTTTTTATTATATATTAGGGCTGTGTAGCGAATTAAAAAAATTAATTGTGAGATTAATTGCACTGTTAATAGAATACCATTTATTTAAATATTTTGGGATGTTTTCTACATTTTCAAGTATATTGATTTCAATTACAACACAGAATACAAAGTGTCAGTGCTCACATTATTTTTTATTACAAATATTTGCACTGTAAAAAAAAAAAAATAGTATTTTTCAATTCACCTAAGTACTGTAGTGCAATCTCGTTATCGTCAAAGTTGAACTTACAAATGTAGATTTATGTACAAAAAATAACTGCATTCAAAAATAAAAATGTAAAAAACTTTAGAGCCTACAAGTCCACTCAGTCCTACTTCAGCCAATTGCTCAGACAAACAAATTAGGTTACAATTTGTAGGAGATGATGCTGCCCACTTCTTGTTTACATCACCTGAAAGTGAGAACAGGTGTTCGCATGGCACTGCTGTAGCCAGCGTTGCAAGACATTTACGTGCCAGATGCGCTTAAGATTCATATGTCCCTTCATGCTTCAACCACCATTCCAGAGGACATGCGTCCATGCTAATGATGGGTTCTGCTCGATAATGATCCAAAGCAGTGCGGACCAACGCATGCTCATTTTCAACATCTGACTCAGATGCCACCAGCAAACGGTTGATTTTCTTTTTTGGTGGTTTGGGTTCTGTAGTTTCCACATCTGAGTGTTGCTCTTTTAAGACTTCTGAAAGCAATACGCCACACTTTGTCCCTCTCAGATTTAGGAAGGCAATTCAGATTCTTAAATCTTGGCTTGAGTGCTGTAGTTATTTTTAGAAATCTCACATTGGTACCTTTCTTTGCGTTTTGTCAAATCTGCTATGAAAGTGTTCTTAAAACAAACATGTGCTGGGTCATCATCCAAGACTGCTATAACATGAAATATATGGCAGAATGCAGGTAAAACAGAACAGGAGACATACAATTCTCCCTCAAAGAGTTCAGTCCAATGTTCCCTCTAATTTTTTCCATCCACGTGCAGAATAAATATGTGCACCAAGGTATGTGCGGATGTGTGCCACCAATAAAAACAAAAAACCTAGATATCATATATATATATTTTTAAAAAGTTACCATAGAGATAATTACTCCAGCCAGGACAGGTTAGGCAATTTAGAACTCACTACTCAAAGAATTAAATTTAAGTGTAAGAGAAATAAAAATTATAAAATGCATAGACCAGTCAAAAAACTCAAATAACACACTTTGAACGAATAAAATTACAGAGAATGAATGTGCATTGCAGGAAGTACCAAGAAGTAACAACAACAATAATATAAATATGTGCTGGAAGGTGAGTGACACAGAGACAGTATGTGTATGTGAGAGTGACACAGACAGTGTATGTGCTGGCTGCTGTGGAAGTTTCTGAGCGATGCCATGCGCTGTCTCTTTAAGGTATTCACTGAAAGCTCTCCTGCTCTGTCCTAAGCCCTGTCTCCCCTCCCCAGTTCTGCAGAGATGGGGTACATGGGCAGGAGGAAGTGGGATAGGGAGGGAGAGAGCAAGCGGGGCAGGGGAAGTCTCAGAGACTGTGTGCTGTCACTTTAAGGCACTCTCTGGGAAGGGAAGGCTTCAAGGCTCGTTCAGACCTCAGACCACAGCAGCTCTCCTGCAGTGTCCTGAACAGGGGTGTAAGTGGGCCTGTACGGTGTATCGATAAGAAGCCGATACCGGCCCGTACACAGCCCAAGTTAAAGTGCTGCCGCAGCAGCACTTTAATGTCACTGCCCCTTTTGCCTCCCCCGTGGGCAGCACTGCTGATAGAGTCCCTGCCAGCAGGGCCGCCCACGGGGGGAGGGGCAGCGACGTTACAGTGCTACTGCGGCATCGGGGCCCCAGGGCCCTTTTAAATGGCTGCCGGAGCCCCAAGGGCCAGGAAGCACAGATGGGCTGGCTGGGGGAGGCTGACCCCCAGCCCCGCCCCTTCTGAGGGCCTGAGCCATACTGGTAAGAATTTAATATTACTTTCACCTCTGGTCCTGAGCCAGGATGTTCCCTCTCCCTTGCTCTGTGGAGATGGGGTACAGGGGCGGATAGAAGGGGGCACCCTGACATCAGCCCCCTCCACCTCCCGCTCTGCACAGCCAGAAGGAGAGTCCTGGGAGCAACTTGGCTGCAAAGCAGCGGGGTGAGGGGCACCTGAACACACACTGCTGGATGTGTGTTGCACTTGAATCCCTCCTGGGCAGCTGCCCAACAGCACTTAGAGGGAACACAGGTTCAGTCACATATTTAATTAACGCATTTTTTTTTTTAAATGAGCATCAGCAGCATGGAAGCATGTCCTCTGGAATGGTGGCCAAAGCATGAAGGGGCATATGAATGTTTAGCATATCTGGCATGTAAATACCTTGCAATGCCAGCTACAAAAAGTGCCATGCAAATGCCTGGTCTCACTTTCAGGTGACATTGTAAGTAAGAAGTGGGCAGCATTATCTCCCGTAAATGTAAACAAACTTGTTTGTCTTAGTGGTGGCTGAACAAGAAGTAGGACTGAGTAGATTTGTAGGCTCTAAAGTTTTAGATTGTTTTTTTTACATAACTGTAATCAAAAACAAAACAATCTACATTTGTATGTTACACTTTCACAATAAAGAGATTGCACTACAGTACTTGTATGAGGTGAATTGAAAAATACTATTTCTTATGCTTATCACTTTTACAGTACAAATATTTGTAATACAAATAATAATATAAAATGAGCACTGTACACTTTGTATTCTGTGTTGTAATAGAAATCAATATATTTGAAAATGTAGAAAAACATCCAAAATATTTAATACATTTCAGTTGGTATTCTATTGCTTAACAGTGTAATTAATCGCGATTAATTTTTTGAGTTAATCGTGTGAGTTAATTGCGATTAAATCGACAGCCCTAATATATATATAAACAAACAGAATTGAGACATATTTTACCACTAAAAGAATAGAATAAATCTTGCTTAAACCACGTAAAAAAAGACTTTAGCTCCTGTTATAATAGACATCACATCTTTTTCTATCCCTCGCTTACATTTAAGTTTTAAAGTGTTTTCCTGCAAATTACCGCTCAGTATACGCCTCAATGCAGTCCATGTCCTGTGACTCTTTACTTCCTTCTCATCAGAGCAATTCCCACCCCTGCTGGGGGAGGGGGAATGGCTCCCTTCAGAGCCCCTCATTGGCTGTCACAAAGGGAAGCCTGATCAGCAAGGCACAACAGAGCTTGCTGCTTGCCTTTGCAGCACTTCTAGTGAGAAGGCAAGCTGGGATCAATGATATGAGTTCCACATCTGCACACCCATCATTTCGCTCCCAGGAGCACTACAATGGGTAGTCACCGGCCTCTGGAACATCCATCCTGATGGGGAAAGGAGGATGCTGTTCAGAGATTCTATGGAGGCAGTGACTCAAGACCTCCCTCGCACTTAGACCAATGACTGTTTTGATTGGGTAGCCCAGATTCATCCTGAGACTAAGACAGAAGTGATGCCAGACTTGATTTAGAGAGGACCACCTTCTCTAGCCATAAAGGCCAATGTAGCACTTCCTTAATCTTAAAAAAAAAAAAGTGGCCAACAGAGGGGAACTATTATTTGCTACCAAATACAAACAGATTCATAAGGCTGTAGGAAGGAAAGTAGGATTCAGTTGGGGGGGAAGAGGACAAACCCCACTCCCCAAAAAAAAAAAAAAAACCCCACACACCACACAAAATGCAATGAGACATTTAGATGGTAAGAACACATTATTTAATGTCTGTAGCCTTTACAAATATTCCTGAACCCTGACACCTTTCAGGGAGCCAAAAGAAGGTGTGTTCCTTAGGTTAGGCATGATAAGATACAGACTCAGTAAACAGACTTCAGAGCTCCTGTAGAGACTTGATGTCATCACACATGCCTTCATAGGCATATTCTGTACCAAATACTTATGGCTTCAGAGTGAGATGGCTCAGCTAGGATCTAGGGTCAGAGGATCTGGCATGAAGCCGACAGCAGTCACTGCGAACTAGGAAGTACCATGTGTGCAGCACTACAGAAGCAATTGGGGGAAGGTAGCAGCAGCAGGAGTTGGGGGTGGAGATTACTGGTGCTATTCAGTTCAATAAGGGAAGGGTTTCCTGTCCTGGATCACTACCCCAGTATTTGCCGCAGAGACCAATGGCTACACACAATTGACAGCGCCAAGAATACTGCAGAAATGAGCAGGAGCACCACAGCATGAGGGGAGCCATCTTCGCCATGTACTAACGTAGCAGGAGTTCATGGGCAGATTAAACATTCTCTGTGTGACTAGAAAAAGCTGCACCACCCGTGCCCCCATAGCCAATTCCAGGACAGCCATAGTGCTCAACTGTTCAGAAGGCAAATGGTGTTGCAAATGCACACTCCCCCTTAGAGAGCAATGGCAAGCTCTAGTAAGGTCTCTTCAAGGCTTTAGTAGTGACAGTGTCACTTCCCTTTCCCAGATCTCTGCAAACTGGTCCTAAGGACACCCTTCCCCTGCAAAATGCTTTAAAATAGCTTTGACATTTCCCATCGGCTTGGAGCACGGCTGACAGCGCTGCAAAGATGTGGCCAACGAGAGTCCAGCCTTAGAAACACGCTCAGAATGTCCTGTCCAAGATCTGCTGGGCGATGTGAGCAAGGGCAGGGAAGGCAGAGCTCTTGGGAAACTCCTGGATGAAATCTCTGCCTTCCTCCAAGCTCTGAGTGAGCTGGGGATCAAGGGGAACACACCCTGTGTGAGAGGGCAAAGGGAGAGAATGACTGTGAGACCACTGGGACGAGTTACAGAGATGAGAGTTACACATGCAAGTCAGAGAGACAAAGGTGGGAGTGAGACACCCACATCAACCAAAGAAGAGACAAAATGATAAGACAAACAGGACTGAGCATTATTAACCTCCTTACTGCTCACTTGCAAGACTAGGTTCTAGACATGTGGCACCATATCAGACATTTTCTGGGTAGAAAGGAGCTATAAGTGCTTCTAGCACCACAATCAGCAGAGATTTACCCTGGCATCACTGTCGAGACTATTGCTCCTTGATTAGGGGGAGGAATAAATAATTAAGGAGGTTTAAATAAATTCCTCATTTCTCTCACAAGAGCTCCACTGGACTCTCAGTGGTGCTGCCTGTGTTTGCCGTTACCTGACGGCAGGCAACTAGGATCACTCCAAATCTCCCACCATATCCAAAGCCAGACTGGACTGTCAGGTTCTCTGCCTCTGTTCTCTACTGGCCAGACATACAATGACCACATCCTTTTGGCAGCTCTATGCTCCTCTCCCAAACCAGATTCTCTTCAGACCTCAACTGGAGATGCCCCTCCTTAGCTTGCCCCTCAGACCTCAACTGGTTTCTGGACCTCATTCCATGCTCCTTGTGGCACTGTGTTCTCACCACTCACCAACCATTTGCTCTTCTGATCTACCCCTCCCACTAGGGAGGGCTCTGTATTCAAAAGGCACTCACCTAGGAATGGGACTCCAGCATGCCTGGCCAGCTCTTCACCACCCCCTTTGGAAAAGAGGTTTGTGCACTCCTGGAAGAGCAGAAGAAACAGCATTTAGTCACCAGGAACTTCCCAAAGCAGAAGTTCTGCAGACCGCCGGGCATCACAGATGGGCAACATGACTGTTTATCTGGGTACATTTAATGCAGAGAATGATACAGCTATCTGAGCAAGCAACGCTCATTTGCCTCTGGCAGCTGCTGATCCCCCCACTTCATGCACTTCCTCAAAGACATTCTTAGCCCTCATCACCCAGTAGGAAGACAAAAGAGTTGCCTCTCCTGAACCTACCCCAACAGCCAGCCAATGAAGGAGGGCAGGGTCCACAAAGCGGTACAGTCAGCCGCTCGCCTCCAGAGATCTACCACATTACCTTCATGGCATTCCCTGGTCTCTCAGCAGCCAAGGGACCACAGTCAAGAAAAGTCAATTCAAACCCAGGCCTCAAGCATAACAATGTAGCAGATTGCCTAGCACCCCTTTGAGGCAGAGGGGTACTCAACCGTGGGTCAGTTTTAAAGGGCTCACCAAACAGTGCGGGCAGACGAAACCACTCATGTTCTCTACAATCCCGATCACTCGCAATCCTGTCTTCTTACAGAACATCAGCTCTCGCCTGACATCCCCTATAGACACCGCCTGTGGGCACAGAGTCATGGGGTATCAGTGATAAAGGGGCCAGCAAAATCAGAGAGGTGCATGTCTGTCTTTCTGCCCATTCATCCAGTGCTGCCAATCCTTGAGATTAGGGCAGGGTACACAGACACAGGTTGGAGGGATGAAGGGAGTAGAAATGCAGAACTAATAGCCATAGAGAGACACTGACATTCATACAGGGTCATGTAAACACAAACCTAAAGGCATAATGGGGTCAATAAAAATATTAGTTTGGTGTGACCCCAGGGCAGGGTGTGGAAACATCTGCCCCAGCAAGCATTACATACCTGTGGCGTCGTGACCAGGACTGCCCCGAGAGGCTTATATGGGCGAAGGGATTCTACTGTAGAGATGTGCTCATCCGAGGTCCCCGGAGGTGTATCCACAATGAGGAAGTCGAGATCTCCCCAGGTCACGTCGGAGATAAACTGCTTTATCAAAGCTGCCAAAACAAAATGGAGGAAAATCTTTGCTTTCAGCTGAGGTGTGGTCTGTAATCTGAACAGTGCAGCAGGTGTTAGATATCAGATCACCACACTGTGTGAACAGATAGGTGCAAAAGAATAGACTTAAGTAGGAAGAGAAGCCCTTCATCAACAGAAGCAGTGGCAGTGCCATCTTCCCTCAGGGTCTCTATCCTGCCCTACAGGGAATGCATCTAGGTGGCAAGAGAATAGTTCAGTCTCCAAGGCCATCGAGATTCTGTTCTGTGTGCCAACAATAGCGAGCATTATAGATGCCTGTCCAGAGAGCACAGGACAGATCTACCAGCTCATACCCCAGGGCTGGTTTACACTACACAGTTCAATCGACATAAGGCAGCTTATGTCGACCTAATTTTCACACTACAGCCGTCCTCCTGCAGATGTAAGAGCCCCATTACACCAACATAATAGCTTCACCTCCACGAGAGGCGTAAGGCTTATATCAGTGTAGCTTAGGGCAATACTGCGTCCCTTACATTGGCTGTCTTGTCAATTTCACGGCAGGAGCCATGCTCCTGGCAGGGAGTTGAGGTAAAAAGCCCAGGGCAGCTTCGGACACCGATCCCAGCTGGGAGCCAGGAGAAGAAGCCAGCAGGGAAGGGGAGCTTCAGATGATGACCAGGCCTAGATTGAAAGCAACAACCTAGAGGTCAAAGTCTGTTATCCAGCCCTAGTTCGCCTGCTCAAACGTAGCAAGAACTACAGACTGCAACCCATGCCTAAGCACAAGGGGATAATGAGCCATATGCAAGACAAGACCAGCCTGTAAGTAAGGCAAGGATGTATTTCAACGAGTTTCATCTTCGCAGGAGGTGCCCTTGCTGTAGGACAGTGGTCCCCAAACTGTGGGGTGTGCCCCCCCGGGGGGGGCTGGAGCCCTGTTCCACCCCCAGCCACAGCTCCACTCTGCCCCCTGCTCTGCCCCCAGCCCAGCTCTGGTCCCAGCTGCAGCTCCACCCTGCCCCCAGGCCAGCTCCACCTCTTACCCCAGCTTTCTCCCCCCATCTCCCACAAAGTTCTGCCCCCAGTTCTGCTTCAGCCCAACTGAGGATGGAAGCCTTGGCTGTGCAGTAATGGAGAGGGGGCACAACAGGAAAAGTTTGGGCACCATTGCTGTAAGGTCACTACCAAGAGTAAAAGCATTCTGTACCGTTTTTCTTGGGTCCTCTCCAAACCACAGCATCGTCTGGCTTCTCCAGCAAGAAGCCAATCGACATGAGAGAGATGCTTTTGTCCTGGTCGACGAAGACAGGCACCCAGCCACTGTCACACTGGTGCACGCCCTTGCCCTGGACTTTGAGCATTTGAGGGATGCTGGGGCCACATAGGTCCACATCCAGAATCCCCACCTGCCAGTGAATACGGGGAACCATTCAGACAATCCCTTACACTAAGACAGCACAGAGGGCCACCACAGTGGCAAAACATAACTCTTCACTGATTTCTACAGCCCAGACCTTATGGAAAGGATGGCTTAAAAGCCTACACATCATATTTGAAATACACAGGAACCACATGTTCAAATCCCAGATGAGTTCACACAGCCCTTCACCTTTCCAAGGGAGATCAGTGTGTTGTCACTGAACTTCTGGACAGAAATCTTTCAAATGAGACCTTAAAAACCATGGCCCATCTGCTCTGCAGGACTTTAAAGAGCCTTTGGGGCATTTTGTTTGCCCTGTGTACTCAGCCACAATTCCCCACTGCCACTATTGTTGTGCTGAGTGGCTGTCCCTCCTTCCACCCGCCTGCCCTCCCTCCCCCACAAGAGGCCACATTTTAGTTAGTGTGTCTGTGTATTAAGTGCTTTGAGAGCCTTTGCCACAATGTAAATTGTAAACATTCATATAGCTCATGTCCTGCTTATATGCACAGGAGGGCCCCTCCCTGTTCCAAGTCATTCTCTCTACCTTTCCATAGGCAAAGCCCAGTGTCCTCTCAGACCCCTAGAAACCTTTAGAGGGATTTTGCCTCCCCTTTCTTTTTCCTACTCATACTCATGCCCTATAACTCGGCATTGCCCACACAATAGCTGCCCTAAAGCAGGACAGGCAAGACAATAGGAGGCCTTGGAGAGCAATGACAGCAAAGGTCAAGGACCCAACCCTCATGGTCTCCATCCACACAGCAAGTGTGAGACTATCCCAGTAGCTTTTAACACAGAGCATAGTATATCGAAGCCTGCCAAGTCCAGGGCAGATATTACTTAGGAAAGGGAGGCAACATAGCCTAGTGTTGAGGTCTAGGTGTCAAGGAACCTGAGTTGTTTTTGTTTTTTTTAATAGACTATCAGGGTTGGCAGGGACCTCAGGAGGTCATCTAGTCCAACCCCCTGCTCAAAGGGGGACCAACCTCCAGACTGATTTTTGCCCCAGATCCCTAAATGGCCTCCTCAAGGATTGAACTCACAACCCTGGGTTTAGCAGGCCAATGTTCAAACGACTGGGCTATCTACTCTTGGTTCTTCCACTGTCTCACTGTGTGACTTTAGACAAGTCACTTCCCCACTCTGCCTATTTCCCTATTAGCATAATGTGGACAATTATAACGAACAAGTTTTGCACAGCGCTTTCATAATATTTTGCACATCTATAGCATCTTTATCGGAGGACCTTAAAGCTGGACTTTGCAGCTTTTTTAGTCAAATAAATGCAAAAAAATCAGAAATCATATAGTAAAAATAATTTTTGCTCAATCTCAGCAGCATGTTCTTGAAGGCTCTTAATGACTAAATAAAAAATGCTACAAGATGCTTAATACCTAGATTATGAGAGCAAAACCCCAGACTAGAATCTTGGGTGCACATGGGGAAGGAGAATACACTCATGACTGACACATGGAAGCTTGCTCACCTTCTTCCCAGCGTGCCGTAAAGCCAAAGCCAGCTCTGTGGAGACAGTGCTTTTTCCCACGCCTCCTTTTCCTGAGAGCACCAGAAGGATGTGTCCAACCCGAGCCAGGTTACCTCTCTCTGTGAAGGACAACGGAACAACACTGAGGCATCCCTGCGCCTCTACACAGCATCATGCTGCACTGAGGATGTATGAATAGCAATGTCATAGGCAGCCAGCTGAGTGACTCCTCACATTTCACAGCTAGGACATCATTCCCACTAAAGGAGCTATCACCATGTAAAGTACAGAAAAGACATTTTGGCTAAGGTGTTGCAGAGTGTTTAAAAATAGTGGGGCAACCTGAGTCAAAATGTGATGGTGGATTTTGAGTAGACAATTATTTACTAGGAACACAGCTGTGACTCATCAGCTCAACATACAGCCAGTGGGTGGTAAGGACTTTAGCTCTGATTCAGCAAAGCACTTAAACTGTCCTCAGTGGGACTTAAGCACATGCTTAAATGCTTTTGTCACTACTGCTCTGGGCCAGATTGAATCTGGGACCTAGTGAAACGCTCTGGGCCTTCCCTCTCCTCAGCCGTCAGTCCCCTAGGAGTTTCCTCCTTTCTGTGCTGTGCAGATCTTGTTTTTCTCGATGTGTTAGTGTCTTGTTTTAAATTTTCTTCAGTTTGCTTGCTGCACAGTCAGTGTTTGCTCTGGTCTAAATAACTTCTGTTTATGACTCATACACAGTGTGCTTTCAGTCCCCAGGGAAGGGCTGTGAACACATTCTTCTGAGATTCTTTAAATGGAATATAACTAGAGGGCCACAAGGGTACTGGGAGAGGTGGGAGAAAATCTGAAATCTGTGATCTAAAGATCCATCTAGAGACAAGAACTACACAGCTCCGAAAGCAAGAAAAATTCAAAATGGAGATAAATCCCTTGAAAGCCCCAGCAGACCTGCATTAACACATTCATTTCACGACTGTAATGACACCGGGGGAAATTACACCTTTGAACCATCCCGAGACTGAAGTTCTGTACTGAGTCACAGCACAGATAAGTGGCAGTGCGAGATTCCTCACCAATGAAATTCAACTTTGACCCAAGGGGACCAGCTTTACGCATGAGGGAGAAGGAGGATGGGTATTGTTACAAGTTTCTGGAGCTTGGGATAAATGACGCTGCCTCATGGCAAATTAGGGATCTTGGTTAGTTTCTGAACTCACATGCTATATTTGGCAGAGGGCTGGAACTTGCTGTACCTCCAGGACCAAAGACCACTGACAATTTTAAGGACCAATGTCTCATCAACCACCAGAAACAAAGCTTATACACCACAGGTTTTCAATAAACCCATCTTTCCAAAGGCAGACAGAATTCATCTCTGGGATCTTGTGTTCCAGCAAAGGCCTTTACTGCTAAAAATCAAATCTGGATTGTTATGTGGGAGCAAGGGAAAGAAGCACGGGATCAATGAGAGTAACATGATTTTAAAGCAAGAGTGCCACCTAATTTTGTTTTAGGTATGTTTTGTTACTGATTGTTACTTTAAGTGTTTCATAAACAAAGTTAATATCAGCACCTCTGCTGCGATTTGCAAATCTGACACAACTTCCTGAAGATTTTTTCTAAGGCCCTAATTATAGCTAAACCATCTCCATGAATCTTTACATTATCTGTACTTCTGCACTAGTTGGACCAGGTGTCCAATGGAGAACTCCCTCACCTGACTCAGAGATAACAAAGGACTATTTGAATTCCAATGGCTCCTCACATTCCTGAATGGTCAGTAACACATCCTGGAAACCCTAAGGACTCAGACATAAAGGTAAACACAAGCCTTATTAAGTCCAGGAAAAAAACAGGAATAGCTAGGAATAGTTAACGTGAGTCATCAAGGAATTTCCCGAACCTTCACATATCAAAGTGGGGTGTACCTCAGACACCAGGTTCCCTAAACCCGAACCATCAGAAGCAGCACTTGAGAGGAAGATGTGGTCTCCTGCTTCAGAGGGGGTTTCCAGTGTTTCAGGGAACATAAAATAGCAATCAAGGAAGAGGAAGACTCCATTTTACTGAAGAACAAGCTGAGTGAGAAAAACAGACTTCATCTTGAGATGGAGCCTGCTTTTACCATGGGAGAAGTAATCAGGAACTCAATCAAAGGTAACTCATAGCACAGATCTCTGCTCTCTTTCTCCTTTGTAATGAAAGGAAGAAATTGCAAGACGTTTCCATAGGTGTTTAATATCGAACATCCTTTTATGTAGGTTCTCTCTCTCTCCCTCTTTGATTGTATACAGATGAATTGTCTGATTGTCATATTGTTGGGGAGCATATTAGGTGGCATTTACAAGGGTAGCATTGTTATTGCTCTCTCAAAGGGGCCAAGGACAAGAGAAAGCAGTGAGTTCCAAAGGCTAGATCCACAAAAGGACATAACTGCCATTTTAGGTACCTAGAGCTAACATGTGGGAGGACTCTGAGATCCTCAAACCCTCTATTCAGCTGCTGTCTAATCCCATAGGTGCCTACATCCCTCCTGGGAGATGCACACAAAACCATTACGGTCCTGACATCACCAAGCTGCTCAGTGCTCTAGGTCATGCTTAAGCCCTGTCAAGGCTGATTCCCCACTCTGGCACTTCGAGTGCAGAAGGTGGGGGCCCGCAAGGATTCTAAAAATTAATACTGGCCACTCCAGGCTTGTATTAAACTCCCAAGGTTACAACTTTTTTCTGACTTTGGATGGGTAGATGCTGCCACCACCCAAGTGCAAAAACCCCTTTTTGAGAACCTAGAAAGGTGCACTTGGGAATTCCTTCCTCTGGTGTATCCTCAAGCCGCCCCCGAGGAAGAGCTGAGAAAGAAAAACAAAGGAAATCAGCTGTTGCCACCAGCTAATTAAACAACATATGCACTCTTAAGACACAAAAATCCTAATCCTGTTCTTAAAAAAGGTAAATTTTATTAAAAACAAAAAGAAAGAAAATACATCTAGAACTTAAGCTATTGCTAGATTTAAAAAGAGCAAATAATTAAGCATCAAGAATCGTTTTCTTGAGGTCCAG